CTGCAGCTATTGCACCCTGAGCAACCTGATCTAACTGGAGCTGACTTAGAGCAGAGCATTTGGACCAAATGACTCCAGAGGTTCCTTCCAACATAAATTACTCTAGGAGCTCTTCTTTCCAACACTCTAGCTTTGGGATCAGCCTACTTGAGGCCAGTTTGCACTTTATGTGTACATAATCTAGACTTATCTTAAAGAACATCTAAAACTGATGGTCACATTGCTCAGGGCCTTCACAAAGGGGTGCTCTGTGTGGGTTAGAAGTCATAACCTCCTGGAGTCTCTTCCTTGCCCTGGGTGAAATGAACTGGAAATGTCCCACTCTTTCTTAGCAGACAGGAGGGGTTTAGACTCTTAGCCTGTGACTTTTCACAGACTTTCAATTACATGAACAGGGAGACTCAACTACCTCATGCTTCCTGGAGCTGACAATTTCAAAGCACAGTTCTGAGTCACAGTGATAGGAGTGGTGCAAAGGAGCCTTCCTCTCTCTCCCCACACTGACTCATCAGGGCTTTCATTTTCCATGCCAGTCAGGAAGCCAACACATTCTATGACAATTAAATTTATCCTAACAAGAAGACTTTGAAAGCTTAATTAAGCTCTGAACTGTACCTAAGCAGTGAACTTACATGATGTGAACCCTGACATGGATGCCTGTCAATCTGTAGCTGAAATCAGCTTCCATCTATTTCTTGGTTTTGGTGATGACTCCTAGAAGGAAAGAAAGCCCTGACATTTTCCTCAAAATGTTTTAATGCTAGTTTGTCCTGCTTAGCTGCATTTTATGTGACAGGCTCAATCACACTGCAGCTGGGATTTTTTGTTTTGAAGTAATATTCAGTTTAGCATGTTGCATTCCTGTAGTCATTCTAATTGCTGAAAATATGTATTGGTTTGACTAGGGTGAACTGAGCCACTTAAAATGGATTTTTACCATAGTTATATTTTACCATAAATAGTACTTTCATTGTCAACAATAAAAGTTAAGAATCATGGTTTGTGACTGATACCTTCCATGACTTAGAAGTCACTTTACCTTTCAGTATCTTTATTTTTTCAAGACTCAAAAGGCATGATGCATATCTTTCCGAGTAGTTTTATTGATCTGTGTGCCAAAAAAAAAATTGTTCCAAGATAAGCTGAAGTGCACAAGTGTGACTATATGCACCTAAAATCAGTAAAGAAACACTTTCACCAGTAAAGAATAAAGGAATTACATTTGAATTACAATTTGATTAAAAATGTCGACTAAGCTGGGGACATGGGGCTGTCTTCACAGTCACTTCAGAAATTTCTTTTAAATGTTATTCCAATTCCAACTCAGCGTTCCTCAGATATTTAACATTTGTGGAAAATCTAATATCCCAAGATCAATGACATCCCTGCAACAGGTGTATGAAAACCCTGACTTTAATTTGTGTAAAGCAGAACCTTTCAAACAATCACCACCAGGAGCAAGCTCTGGTATCTGTGAAATACTTGCAAGCATCATAGAGGATTAAAAACTCCTCTTTTTGAGATCCAGCCTGCCTTGAAGTGAAGTCTAATAAACTAAAAGAATTTCTTGGACACTTTCAGGTGCTAGCAAATGTCTAGAGTTAAGAATAGATCTGAGTGAGCTTTAAGGGTTGGTTTACCTTGTCCACTCCAGGATGTCAAAACTGCCATATCAGGCTTTTAATTCACAGAAAGAAACTTACTTGTCCTACTTTAAAGCAATAGTATTTTATATTTGTACCATTACCCTAGTAAAATTTTAAAATGAGATGACATGGAATACAAATAGCACCAAAATTTCTTTAATATCCCAAATCATGAATAGAAGCATGTCTAGACTCAAATACAAACCACCTTTTATAGCAAAATTCAAATCCTCCTCTTTCCCTGCCAAATGCTGAGTTCAGTCCCTGAGGGCCTGAGCAGGATTTCCTTGGCTACAGCAGCTGGCATTGGCAGGGCAGGGAGTGCCACTCCTGGCCTTGGTGTGCTGGGTGATTTCATCAGCTAACACAGGTCTTGACAGGTGCAAAGACTTTCACTTCACTTTAAGCACCATAAAACCTTTGGTGCTTGATCTGGGAGATGAGGAACTTTTTTATCCAGGAAGGGCTGGGATCAGAGATCCTGAACGTAATCCTCTAGAGCTGTCAGTAGTCCTTCAATGCATTTCTTCTAAACATAGAAGTACCATTTGTTCTGAAATGAGTCCTTGGTGCATGCTGAATTTGCCAGACATTTCACTTTGAGGCAAAGATATGACAAATGTGCTTCCTAGCATTTTCATGTTGATTTATTCTTTCTCACAAAGGACAACTTCGTAAAGCGTTTGAATCAGATCCACGTTCACACTTTACATATGCAACATTTTTGTGGCTGACAAAGCTGGCTTCTCAGGCAAACTAACTGGGAAATAAAGTCACACCAGAGAAGGGCATGCTGAGACCGCTATACTTCAATGGCTATTTTTTCCCAACTAATCATCATTATTATTATGAGTAGATATTTACCCTTAGGTGCACTGGGCAGATCATTCTGACTCATCCATTCAATGGATGTTGTCCTCTTGGGTTAATGATTATCTTTTTTGTATGAAAGCTTTGCTAATTCCTGTAACTACATAGGATAGCCATTTTAGTACTTACCAGGTGACATTGATGCTTGCATAACCTTTCCAGCATTGTTGGTTGTAGCTTGTGTCATGACACTAGTGTGAATTATGGCTGTCTTGAGGTTACAAATCTTCATATAACACAGATGGTCTGTAGAAAAAAAAAATTGTAATGATGGTCTGCACATCACACATTCAGTCTTCCCTTGCAGACTCTTTCCTTTATCATTGCCTCATGCTCTTAGGTACCTTTTAATCAAGCATCTAAGACATAATTTTTTGTACAGACCATGTTCTATAATAAAGATTGTAACATGCAGTTCTAGAAAATACCTCTGCTACCAGCATTATCATAGCTTCACATTGGCCTCCCCCAGACTTCCACAGAAATATATCACCATTACTTCCAGACAGATGATTTTTTTACTACTTCTTTGAAAGAACGATGAAAGCTGTGTAAGCTCATTAGCAGAGCATGTGTGTAGGCTTAAAATTACAGATAATAGACATATGGTTGGAAAGTCAGTAATTCCTTTACATATTTGCCAAGACTTAGGTCAAGGTTCAGGGTTTCCTTTGCTCAAACTGGTGAAATCAGAAATACCTCCAGGTATTCTGGGGAGGGCTTGCAGTGCACACGCGAGACAGGTGATGAGGCACAGTTATCTCAGTTGCCTTCTGCAAGAGCAAGCCCTGTTTACTCTAAATTGCACACAATTGTGATGTGCTTTTCTTTTTGCACTTTTTTTGTATAAGCCAATACTTTTTCTACTAGTTCTTGGTGTTTTCTATGAACTCTCATAATCTGTTATTTGTAACATTACAGTAAATTCATTGTAATAAACGTTGATGTCACAACCTTGGCTTTTCAAGTCAGTGAGATTAGCAGTTAATGTATTGGAAAATATTTGTGCACTTAAAAGTAATCATCGTTAAAAAGAAATTACCTCCTTCCCACTCAAGAAGCACAGTCCTTGTATATCACTTCCGTATTTGTATAACCATTTCATTAAAAAGTAAAGTGTAGTTTGTGCAAGCAGTCAAATATTTTACAGAAAAATTCATCAGAAGGATGATTTTTACCCAGGTTCACTAGCTGTTTCTTCATAATCACAGTTCTTCAGCTTTTGCTGGTAACAAAGCCACAAGCTTTAAATCCAGATCTTTGGGTTTAGATCTAGGAGAGGATATGAGGATTGCTGCAGTTGTAAATCTATGTGGCATCAGCCTGGGGATCTGGAAGCAACAGTGGGGGCAAAATCTACCCTTGCCTTCGTGTTGGCCCTGTTTCAAATGTGAAAGGCCAGCTCTGCCAGAGGAGTTGCATTGTCTTGACAAATGGGTCTTTCTCTGGCTGAGTGAGAGTGCCACTGATTATTTGAGATGTAAGCATGGGCACATTGTCACCACTGCCCAGAGTGAGGCCACTGGCTGCCACTACCCTACATCAGTGTGACATCTCCCCACTACACCAAACCTGATCTGAGTACACTTTGCTCCTTCCAAATTATTTTTATACATGTCTTGGAATATATATTCAGATACTTTTCAGAATATTATTTTTAAACCAAAGGGAAACTATTTTCCTCCTTTAAATCTCTCAGCAACTTTGTTGGTGAAATTATTTCTTATTGCTCTTATTTTGTTGTCACGGTTGTTTGCACTGATTTTTAAAGAATTATGTTCTGTGTGTATGAGGGTGTGTCACCCTTGCTAGTCCATGTTAGAGAAAGCAGCAGTAAATGTTACTGTGTCTGGGGACTGCAATAATTTGTCCTTTTGACATTGATTTAATTTTACACATTTTTCAGGAAGCTGAAATTGAATGAGCACCGTTATACTCCAAAAATCTCTTTTAGCCAGATTCCCTCTATCAGGACCCACACAAGTGTGTGAATATGATGACTAATGTGGAGCAATCCCAAAGTAATACCTATTTAAAATTTCAAACCATAACAAGTCTAGATTAAGTTAGTTTTTAAGAAAAGTGCTTATGCATCTGGCAGTAGACTTTTGTCTTAAATAAGCAATGTTAAAGATAAAGAAGTAATGGTTTTAGAGGTGAACTGTGAAAGAGAGAATCCATATTCATCTTATAAAATAATCTGTTTATTTTCATAAGGATTTTTGCCTAGATACTAAAGTAATGCGTGCATACATTTTGAAAGCATATGAAGCTGGAGCCTGAGGAAAGCCTTAAAGAGATACCAAACCTATCCTGTTTTCAAATTCAGCTCTGTTTCATGTCACAGAACAAAGTTTCTAATAGAGCCACAGTAATTGACCAGTAATTGCAATTTCCTATGTTGTTATTTCAAAGTGTAAGATGAAATTCAATATAATTATTTTCTTTTTCTTTTTTTTTCTTTTTTTTAATTTTATTAACCAGTTAATTTAGGTGATGGAATAGAATACAGCCAGCAGAAGCGTGAAAATATCGGAGTTCTCATTCAAGAGACACTGCAACTCTTTGAACGCTACGGTGGAAAAAATGCTTATATAAACATTAACTACATGATCCCCACTTATGAGTCGTGCATGTAAACTGAATTATATTAAATGGGATGATTCCATCTGTGCTCTAAAAAAACTGTATCTGACTCTGTATGGCATCTTGTTAGTCATGCTTTATCTTCTCTACAGCTGCTAAAATAGTGGCTTCTGGGGCATTGGAGTGTTAGCACTATTGTGAACAAGGCTTTCCAATACATAAATAGTGTCTGTTCCTTTGATTACAATGGTGTACTGTGCTTGTTTGTTCCCTGAAAGAATCACTCCTTTATAACAGAGCTGACTCGAACAGGAATCTGAGTTAAACCTTCACTTGTGTAGACAATAAAACTATAATTTTCATACGCGATTCAGCAATCGCTGTTCTGTGTCCGCTTGCCCTGAGGGTGATGTCAGAGGCTGTAACAAGAAGAGTTTATGCTGACTGCTTAATAGGTGTTTGTCATGGAAGAGAAACACCAGTTCAGCAATGCCTCTCTAGCAGCTGTGCCGAATAATGTGCACTGACATACAATAAAACTGTTGAATGTATATACCGATTGCAGCAGGAAAATTTATATTTTCCATTATAAACCACTGTCATTAAATTAATCCAAGTTTCTTACACACTCCTGTTCTCATGGAACTTGGGTTCCTCTTGTTGAACATAAGGCACAAGCACAGCGTTGAAGAAAAGAAGCCCAGAAAAAAACTTGAATAAATCCAATAGAAGATACAACATACATAAAGTATCAGTCCATAGCAACACTGTTAATCTGACAAACACAGAATATACAAGTACATTTTTAAAGGCCATTTGGTTTTTTTGTAGCTACAAGGTTGTTTTTGCTTTTCTGTTATTATTATGGTGTGTATGTGTGCAAACAACATAACTATTGTTGTAGGAATCCCTTACAATTTCCTATTCAGTTAGTTTCTTCCTACATACCCATAACACAGAACTGATATAATCACGGATTTAAGTAAAGCTATTGAAGTCAACTTGATTGCTTTTTGAGCATTTCTATGGAATAAACCTACAAAAAAATAAAAACAAAACAAAACAAAAAACCCCACCAGTCTTACAATTCTCAAGGACAACCATTTAAAATTATTGAGTCGGCTCAAAACAAACCAGAGATATGAATTTTGCCTAAAAACATGAGTTTTTTTAAAGTACTTTTAAAGACTTTGGGCTCATCTGGCTTTTATTATGTTTTGTGGAGCTCTTCAAATGTATGCAAGTTGCACTTTCAAGTGTTTCACTGTAACTGTTAAGAGCCTGAAACACACTTCTTGGTGTTAGACACATAAGACTTTTTCCAAGTGCTTATCCTTATCCATATCCATATTCACACCTTACAAGGCTTGCCCAAGTGAGAGACACAGCCCCTACGCTGCCCTGCTCTCTTGGATGCCTGCTGGAAGTGTGGGGAGCATCTTCCCACCTGCTGAAACTTTGAGCCATATCTGTCATTAGATTGACATTAGAACTTTCCTTTTTCTGTTCTGTGGCATCTTCAGCCTGAGGGTTTTCTTTGACATTCTTCTCTTTCCTGTAAATAAAAAAAAAATTAAAAAAAATATTTTTACTCTTCCCACCTCTTTGAGGAGCTGCACCTTCAAGTGATTCCACCAGCCACAAGCACTCATTAGCCCTTGGAATAGGCATGGCTGCTGGAGGAGTGCCTTTTTCCCAGGCCCCAGAGACATTTCTTTTCTGTTTGTTTTTTTTTTTTTTTCCTGTTCTTCCTGAGTTTTGTTTTACACATTTTTTCCAAGGCTACCCTCAAGTCCCTAGAGTTGAGACAAGGTCTGTCCCATGTCCAACATACACCTGTGATGGCTAAGTACATCCAAAACTCTGGCTCACATCTAGGGTATCGACAAATCTTTCACCTTCTGGGCAGAAAGGGAGGTCAAGCCTGGCTATAGGCCCAACCCTCTGGAAACTTGAGACCTTTGTCTTCAAACCTTGCAGCACAGAGGCTAGCTGGATAATGCAGGGGGGCACAGGCCACGTCTCCTCTTCCAAAAATGCCTTTTTACCCAGCCACTCTGGCAGTATCCTCACAGCCTTTGCTTACAGCTTCTCCCCATTTGCCTTGCATTGTCCCTGGCACCGATGAGCCATAGTTTTTCATTTACTGACATCTATGGATTTGGTAACTGTGGCATTGCAGGTTTCCCATGAGTACAGACTGTGCTGGAAAACTGCGGCTCGGAGGGAGCTGAGTTATTCAGCTCAGAAACAAACCAAGCCCTTCATAAAAGGAGAATTCCCAGGCCACCTTTCACTCCTCAGCTATTTGTATTCTTTCCTTAAGAGAAAGTCCAGTACTGCTCTTTGCCTGAGATCAAAAAGCTCCTCAATAGCTGGCTTCAGTTCCCCTGATGCTGGGCTCCAGCCACAGAGCCACTTGCAGAAGGGACTGTGCAGGAAAGGACTCTCAGCCCTGGGTTTTCCCCATCCCATCACCCCTCTGCATTCCCAACAGCTCTGCCAAGGATGAGAAGTTTCAGTCTCCTCACCAGCTTTTGTAATTCTGTTCCCCAGCCCCCTCGTCTTGCATCCCCTCCCCTTCAGCTCAACTAGGACAAGACTGCTGACTGGCAAAGAGACACCATGGAAAATGGGTACTTTGTGAAGCTGCAGACTTGCCCGGGCCTGATGCCCTCAGCCTTGTGCTCTTTCTTGAAGATTTCTTTCACAAGACATAGGTTCAACAAGGAGTGACCTTATGGCAAACCATAAGGGCAATAGGGGTCATGCATATTCACATCAGGAAAACTAAGTTTTATAGAAAAGTGCTTTTATTTGCATGTTCAGGATGACAACATTAGCCTCCATCAATACTATTCCTATGTCTGGTCCTTTGATTTAAAAGTGAACATTCTCCCATAACCTTATATTCTAGGAGCTGGACTGATAAAAAGAAACATGATAAAACCCACAGGTTGGTAATTTAGAAACACTGAGAATAAAACTATTTTAAGATGTCATTTTACTAAGTCAAACTGTGGGCCTTCCAACCTTGACAATGTCCCTTTTAAGCATGATCAGCAGCATATTTATAGGCAATTACAGCACAGCTCAGAGCACTTTATAAAGCACAAGATCAAGGACTCAGGTGCTTAATTCTGTGATTAAGAATACAAGTAATACTATGTCATTCAATACACTGCTTCGCTGTCTTACTATGCTGAAAAACCAGGATTGTGGTCAAAAAACAGTAACTGCCTCTCTTTTGACCAGATCATGTAATTGTGGTCACTGATGCTAGGGGCAAGCCAATCAACAATTCTTAATTGTAATCCATTAAAAGGTACTCTGGGCAGGTGCTTCAAGGGGTATAAATCAAGTGTAGAGGCATTAAGGTTAATTTGGCTTTACAGAAGTGATGTGGTTCATGCCCTACTCTGGTGTCTTCTGCTGCTTTCTAGCTCTCCAGTGATGTTAAGGTAAGGAGCATCAGTGAACAAATGTGTGGAAAGTTAAGCTGTAAGTGCTGATTTTCTGAAACTACCTGTTTGAAGTATCTCCAGTTTATCTTAATAATTATGTTAGGTTGGCTGGCTGGCAACCGTTTAGTTTGAAGAAGAAAAAGCATGTGGTAACATAAGGGGGGGAAATTTGGCTGCCTTTGTTGCCTGTGATCATGAAAACAAGCATAAAATAAAATATTTTTGATAATTCCTCCCCAAGGCTGTGTAAGGGAGCCCTGTAACAGGTGTTTAGGGAACTCTGGCACTTTGTGAATGCTGGCAGGTGCTGTAGAGCAGTCACTGTGTGAGCTATTGTTCACTGAACGCTCTGAGTTGCCCATGTGAAGGTGGGCAGGGGTGGCTGGGGCTCCATCCCAGCTTGGGCTGGGGCTGCCCGTGGGCTCCTGCCGAGGGGCAGAGCCTGGCAGAGGATGGAGTGAGACACTGCCAGCATTGGTGGCAGGGAGCCGGAGCCAGGCTTCTCGCTGGTAGCTTTCCAGTGTTTCAAAGAGATGGAGCTGCCAAAAAAGTTTGAAAAGAGCCTCCCAGGAGTCAAATACAAAAGGGCTGTGGGAAGTTGTAAGTGGGAGGGAAGGTATGGGACCCTCGCTGGGAGGGTGTTTGTGTGTGAGGTGCAGGGAGGTGTAGCTGCAGCCAAGCAGGGCAAAAATAAAATGTTAGAGCAGACACTGTGTGCTTTCCTAATCCTGTCTGGAGACCCTCTGACTTCCAGAAGAGCATTCTCCAGTCTGGGGGGCTCTGCAGGCAGTGGGGCGCATCACATTTTTCCACTCATCTGTAACATCCTGTGTTTTCTGCCTTAAATAAAAGCAGTGATGTTTGTGGGAACTCCATATAAAGCCTGTCTGCTTGCAACCTCTCAGAGCTGCTTTGTGCCTCCTGGAGACTGGGAGAGGAAGGTTTATGCCCTGGCAGGACAAGAAGTTCCCTGCACTGGCCCCATAATCCTTCCGGCATGTGAGGGGAGGAAAGGGGAATGTGCGTGGTGGGGCATATCTTAGCTGTTCTTGTTCTTGCCTAGCAAATCCAGCCTGGGTATGTCTGTGGGGTTCCTTGCTGAGAGCTCTCCCCTTCTTGGACAGTGCCTGGTGGCTTCTGGTGAGGTGGGTGGAAGCCTGCTTGAGCAGAGACAGCAAATTGCAGCCTCAGGGAGGAAAAAGTATGTTTCTTGCAGAGCAGGGAGTCAGCTTTGTGCTTCACATCCCATTTGTGATGCCACAAATCAACAAATAATGAATTTTTTACTAATGTCATTCAGGAGTGAGTTAAGCAGCTCTCTCGTACCCAGGCTCACCACCCCGTGTGCTCCTGATGTAGGCTGTGTGTGCAGCAGGACAGGGTCTGTGTGCCCAGAAGTGGGTGACACTGCTCCCCTCTCTACACCACCCTGCTGTGGCACTTTCCAACCGGGAATGTGTTCCCAGTCCCCTTCTGAAAGGAGAGGCTGCTCCGATATTTTTTTTTTTTTTTTTTTTTTTGGCCAACAGAGCCTCTCACATAGAGCAAAACCCTTAAGCTACAGAAGAGCAGGCACCTTCATGGAAGAGAAAGCTGAGAGCACAGCCATGTTGGCAAGGCTGTTGCCATGGGCAA